TAGTAGCTTCTTTTGATTCTTTGTAGTCCTGTGGTGTCAGTGATGATGTCTCCCTTTTTATACATAACTGTTGATTTGGGACTTCTCTTTTACTTGGTTAGTCTAGCTAAAGTTTTGCCAATCTTGTTTATCTTTTCAAAGAATCAACTTTTAATTTAATCTTTGCTATTGTTTTTCCCCTTCTCTGATTCGTTTATTTTTGCTCTTACCTTTATTATTTCCTTCTTTCTGCTAACTTTGTGCTCAGTTTTTTCCTCATTTTTTTAGTTCCTTGAGGAATAAAGTTAGGTTGAGATCTTTCTTGTTTTTTAATGTAAGCATGTATCACTGTAAAATTCCCTCTTAAAACAGCTTTTGCTGCATCCCATAAATTTTGGCATGTGTTTTCATTTTTGTCTCAGGATACTTTTGTATTTCCCTTTAGTTTCGTTTTTGATCCATTGGTGGTTCATGAGTGTTGTTTAATTTTCATGTAGTCATGAGTTTTTCCAGTTTTCCTGTTACTTATTTCTAGTTTCATACCATTGGGTCAGACAAGATATGTAGTATGATTAATCTTCTTGAATTTGCTAAGACTTGTTTTGTGATCTGACATATGGTCTATCCTAGAAGATGTTCCATTTGAACTTCAGAAAAAAAGTGTATTCTGTTATTGTCAGAGAGAATGTTCTATATGTGTCTGTTAGGTCCATTTGGTCTAAATTGTTCACAATCACAGTTTATTTAGTGATTCTCTGTCTCGATGATCTATCCATTGTTGAGAATGGGGTATTAGAATCCCCAAATATTATTGTATTGCTCTTTATTTCTCTTTCTGTTCGGTTTTGCTTTATATACTTAAGTGATTCAATGTTGGGTGTGTAAATACTTATAATTATTGTATCTTCTTGATTAATTGACTCCTTTATCATTACATAATGACCTTCTTTGTCTTGTTTTACCATCTTTAAAGTCTATTTTGTCTGAAATAAGCATAGATATCACTGATTTAATTGTTGCTGTTGTTACCATTTGCATGAAATATCTTTTCCTATCCCTTCACTATCAGTATATATGTAACTTCTAGGCTAAATTGAGCCTTTTCTATGCAGCATATTATTGAATCCTTTTTTTTTAATTCAGTCACTCTGTGTCTTTTAAATGGGCATTTTTATCTTTTTACATTCAAAATAATTATTGATAAGGGCTTACTATTGCCCTTTTGATTATTTTTCTGATTCTTTGGTAAATTTATTGTTCTTTTTTATTCTTTGTGTATGTGTGTGCTTTAATGTCTTTTCACATACATATTCTTTGACTTTTTTATCATGTTCTTTGTGTAATTACTGTAAGTTTTTCCCTTGTGGCTACCACAGGTTTATATAAAATATCTTAAAATTATAACACCTTACTTAAACTGATAATTTTGATACCCTCCCTAAACTCTATTTTTACTTCTCCTCCCCCTCAGATTTTAGGTTGTTGATGTCACAGTTTACATATTTTTATATTGGGCATCCAATAACAGATTATTGTGGCTTTGGTTATATTTTACTACATCTTTTTCTTTAACTTTTTAAACTAGAGTTGTAAATGAATTATGTACCACCATTAGCTGATCATAGAATCTAACTTTGATTTTATATTTACCATTAGCAGTGAATTCTATGCTACCTCTTATGTTTTTATAATGTTAATTGGTATCCTTTTATTCCATGAAAAATCTCCCTCTAGCATATCTTGTAATGCAGGTATAGTGGTGATGAAATCCCTCACTTTTTGTTTGGGAAAATCTTTATCTCTCTGTCATTTCTGAAGGACAGCTTTACTAGATCCGGAATTCTTAGTTGACAGGTTTTTTTTTTTTTTCTTTTATCATCCCATTCCCTCCTCGTCTTACAAGTTTTGTTAATTAATCTGCCTATAATTTTATTCATGATCCCTTGTGTGTAACATCTTTTTCTCTTGCTGCTTTAAAAATTCTTTGTTTTTGACCTTTAACAATTTGATTATAATGTGCTTTGATATAGCCCTATTTGAGCTTAATATATTTGGGGTCTTTTGGGCCTCATGGCTCTGGATGCCCACTTTTCTTTCCTGGTTTGGGAGTTTTTAGCCATTATTGCTTTAAATATATTTTCTGTTCTTTCTCTTTTTCTTCTCCTTCTGGATTTCCCACAATGCAGATATTGCTTCTTTTGATTGGGTCTCTTAAAACTAGTAGGCTTTCTTCACTCTTTTTTGTTTTTGTTTTGTTTCACTGGGTAATTTCAAATGCCCTGTCTTCTGTGTTGCTGATTCTTTCTTGTGCATGGTGAAGTCTGCTTTTAAAGCTCTCTATTTAATTCTTCAGTTTAGTCATTTTATTTTTTAGCTCTATAAATTTTTTGATGATTTCTGTTTCTTTATTAAACTTCACATTGTGTTCATGCATTGTTTTCCTAATTTCATTTAGTTGTCTCTGTGTTCTTATATTTCAGGAAACTTCAAGAGGATTATTTAGAATTCTAGAAAAGTTATATTTATACTACACCATAGTCTATTAAATGTGTGATAGTATTATGTCATCATTAAAGATACTTTATTGTTAAAAAATGCTAACCATTATCTGAGTGTTCAGATAATAATCACTGGTTGCAGCTCACAATAATAAATATAATGATAATTTAAAAGTTGGAAATGTTGGGGTGTCTGGGTGTCTCAGATGGTTAAGTGTCCACTTTTGACTCAGGTCATGATCCCAGAGTCCTGGGATTGAGCCCTGCATGGGGCTTCCTGCTCAGTGAGGAATCTGCTTCTCCTTCTCCCTCTGCCCCTCCCCCCAGCTTGTTCTCTTTCTTGTGATCTCTCTTGTGCACACTCTCTCTTTCTCAAATAAAATATTTTTTTAAGTTGGAAATATTGCAAAAATTACCATAATGTGACAGAGACACAAAATGAACAACTACTATGGGAAACATTGTGCCAATAGACTTGCTCAAAACAGGGTTGCCACAAACCTTGCTGAGCGAGCACACACACACACACACACACACAGAGTGCAAAGCACAATAAAATGAAATATGCCTGTATTTGTTTCCTTTTTTGGTATCATGTTTAACTGATTTTCCATGCTCCTTGGTTTCTTATATTGATATCTGTGAATCTGAGTAATTGTCTCCTCTTCCAGACTTTATATTTTTGCTCTGGTAGAGACAGTTTTTCGCCAGTCAACTCAGTTTAGATTTCTGGATGTGTCAGGTGGCAATGTTCTTGGACAACTGGGGCTTGCTATCAGAATCTATTTGTGGGTGAGGCCGCTGCTCAAGCTCTGAGATCAGGGGGTAGAGAGGGTTTGCTGGTGTTAATTGGAGAAGACTGCTAGCTTTGTTCCCAGCCTAAAGGAGGATGTAGGATTGGTTCCACAGTTGACGGGGTCAGGCATACTAGTTGGTCAAGACTGGGTATTATACTCAGTAATAGGTCAGGATATGAATTAGGTTTTCTGCACTGGTAGGAAAGCAGAGAATTCTCTAGGGCCTGTACAGCTTGTTGTTTCGGAACTTGAATAGGCAAGAATATGCACTGAATTCCCTAGCCAACGGAATCTCTGGTTTTGCTGTGCAGATGGGGAAAGCCATGGGATTTCTCTCTGTTCAAGTGCTGCTGTAAGTAAGACAGTTGAATGGGGCTATGTAGCTTCCCATATGTTCTGGTTAGGTTCCCTTGTAGGGCAGGATGAAGCCTGTCTTCATCAATGGGCAGAGCTACAAATTAGTTTTACTGCCCATCTCCATGGTTGATAAGTTGTTTATGGTCTTGACTCAAGTTGACCAATGCCCCAAGTTCTTTGGCTGAATGATGTCACTGGCTTAGGTCTGCAGATGATCAGCTATACTCTCTGCTTCTAGATATTCTGGCTAGACTTTCTGTTGGTAGTGGCTAAGAGCTATACTCAGCAGTAGGCCTGGCTATGAATCATCTTCCTTGCCTTGGTTGGGGCAGACCAGGTTCCATGGTTCGCAAGGCTTTTTGAGGACCCAAAAATTTATACCCGCTGAGTTTATTGGTCAGACTGAACTACTGTCTTGGCTTTGTAGATGAGTAAAGCTGCTAGTTGGTACTATTACTCGAGTGCTGCATGTAGCAACTTGTTCTGCCAAGATCTATGTGCTATGCAAGCCTCTACTCCCCTCTCCAACACAGTTGATTTCCAGTGGTAAAGACTTGCAGATTCTGCCCCAAATCCTTGTGGAGCAAAACCAAATTGGATGCACAGACAATGAATCATGGAACACTACATCAAAAACTAATGATGTAATGTATGGTGATTAACATAACAATAAAAAAATTTAAAGAAAAATAATTGGAGATTCCTATCTAGTTTCTAGGAAGAACCATAGTCTCCAGGGAGACCTCTTGGTGGTGATGCTGGGCTATAGGAGGAGCACTGAGGCTGGTATGTAGATGCTTCTCTAACCCATCTAATGCAGTCTGTCTTGGTCTCTGTGGTGCAGGGGTATGTGTCAGGATCACTGCCATGTTCTAGGACACTCTCAGAACAATTGTCCATGAATAGTTGTTAGATGTCCTTCTTGGGTGGGGGGAGCAAAGTCAGGAATGACTTCTATGTCACCCTCTTGATGACGTTACTTTTACAGATTTTTAATGAGGAATTTTTGGGGGCAGAATTTTGGCCTTGCTACATAATCCATGAATATTGTGTTATATTTTCTCTTTCAATTATTCAATCCTCTGCCTATAAATACATATTAAAAGAATTTGTAAATCTGCAATTGAGAACTTGTTCTGTTCACTGTGTATCATATGGGTTATGGAAAATTTTCACTCTTCTATTCAACAACTTTTATTTAATGCCTAGTATGAAGCCTAGTGCTAGATTATAAGTGAATAACACACAATGACAACTACCATCATGGGAATTATAGTCCAGAGAATTAATAAGCATTCCTACCTTACATTAAGGATTAGAAAACAAAAGGACAAACTAATGTTTATAAATTGTAATGAGTTTCACGAAGATGGTAAAAATTCATGGGAAAGAGAATAAATTGAGTGACAGGAAAAAAAATTTGAAGAAAATTTATAGGAATCTCCTAGGTAAAAACTTGGAGTTGGGGTGGGGAATGTATTCCTAGCAAAGGAAACAGATCATTGGTGCTATCACTTGAGGTGGGAAATGACTGGCTATGTTAAAGGAAGTTCAAAAAATCCAGGATGGTTGTAAAACAGTTTCATGTCCAGATAATGACATAAAAAAAATGTCAGTGGCCAGAATCTTATAGGTCATGCTAGTGGGTCTGGGAATCAATTAAAGAGCAAAAATCAGAAAAATGACATAATATCTATTGTCTATAAGATTATGAAGAGTGTTGTTTAAATTATGGATCAGAATCCATAAATCTTAGAAATATGTTGATTGGGAAAAAAAAATCCCAGAAATCAAAAAATAGTGCAATACTCTACTTATAGAACAAACAGCACATCATTAAACGATTTTAGGTATATATAGCAAAAGTATAAAATTATTTTGAAAATCAAAATAAATTAAGGATATACCCAAAATTCATGGGAAAGAGAATATATAAATAAATAAATATTCCTCAGTAACTTATGAGGAAATGCAGGATGTGAAGTAAATACAGCACTTTTGGTAACAGTTTAGTGCTTTATTTTGGTGTCAGTAAACAGTATTTATTTTTATAAGTTTCTGTGTTACTATTAGCTATTTTAATAAGTCAAGGATTATCTTAAAATAGAATGGATTGGTGGTGGGGGATGGGAGGCAAAAATAGAGTCTAAGAAACCAGTTAGGAGGCCCATTAAGTTGTCTCAACTGGATGGAATAGGTGAGGGAGAGTAATGGTTCAGGATGTCTTTTAGGTTTCTGGTTCTATCAATAGGAGAAAGAATGTTGCCAAGAAAGACAAAATGTTTAGTTTGGAACATTTCGAATTTGAGATTCTAGAGAGATCTTTTAGAGGAGATGTAAAGCCAGCCGTGGGGCTTGGAAAATCTGCACTGCAGAGACATTGCCTTCTTCATTTAAGTACTGACAACCAATCAGTTGCCAAGTATAATTGTATCTCAACAATGTACATGTCTCTCCTCTCTGGACTCAGACCTAGTTTGCGGCGACACGGCTAAACTCACCAAGAAGGTCGGAATCGTGGGTAAATACGGGACCCATTATGGTGCCTCCCTCAGGAAAATGGTGAAGAAGATTGAAATAAGCCAGCACGCCAAGTACACTTGCTCCTTCTGTGGCAAAACAAAGATGAAAAGACGAGCTGTGGGGATCTGGCATTGTGGCTCCTGCATGAAAACCGTCGCTGGTGGCGCTTGGACCTACAACACCACTTCTGCTGTCACAGTAAAGTCTGCTATCAGAGGACTGAAGGAGTTGAAAGACCAGTAGAAGCTTCACCATTTGAAACATTACTAGCCTATAATAAATGGGTTAATTTATGTAACAAAAAAAAAAAAACAATGTACATGTCTTTCATCCATCTTTTTCCTTACATGGCTACCACTCTAACTTAGAATTTTCTTCTACCTAAAATAATCTCTCCAATTCCATTTACTCTATTCAGATACTGTATCTATATTATACCCTCCAAAATGCAGACTGATTAAACTTTATTTATTTACTTAAAAGTCTTCAAAAATTACCATGTTCTTCTACATCACCTATAACTCAGTCTTATATACCTGGATCTTTGTGATATAATTCAACACGGTTTTCCAGTGTCATCTGATACTTTCACTACTTATACCCCATAATTCTGCCAAATGAATGTATCTCTTGTTACCTATTACATCCTACATTTTTATTAATGCATTTTTCTTTAAACTCTAGATTTTGTAACTGTAATACTCCCACTTTCTAAGCTAATTTTATTCACCTATATTTTAAGCCAATCTCAAGTCCCACCTTTATTATGATGTATTTTCTCATACTCAATAGCAGGTAAGATATTTTTTTCTACTTTATCTCCCTTCCCCGAGTTTCCTATAATCTTCATTTCTGCTTTTGTGTGCCTGCAGTAATTGTCATATTCTGCTTATAGAAGCAGATGACATGGATTCAAATATAGACTTTATCTAAACAAAAAAAAATATATAGTTAAGTAACTTAAGACTTTGAGCTTCAGTTTCTTTATTTAAAAAAAAGGAATTATATCACATTAGGATGAAGATAGGACAATATATAAAAATAAAATGTTAGATCACAATCCTCTTTTCTCTTCCATTCATTTTTACCATTCTATAAAATAGTGCCTTTCACAAAATATCCATTCTATTAATATATACCAACTTAAATTGAATATGTTAAAAGTTGAGTTTAATAATTATCTTTAAAAATGTGAATGCAGAATTTATATGGTATCAGTCATAAGCACCTCATTGGGAATTACTTTCAGGGAATTTTTCATAATAACCAACTGAACTCTAGGTAATAAAGTAATAGATTTGTATTTGCTTAATAGTTTTCATGTTTTTATTTGAAGATAGGAAATTAAGGCACTATCCACAAAAATGGACCAAATTGTATTGCTACCATGAGAATAAAGAAAATGAATGGAAAAAGTGAAATGAAGTGGAAGGAAAGCAAAGTAAACCCAACTTTGTCTTAAAATTTTAGCTTTAGGTGGGTCTTAAAGAGAACAGATTTAGAGAAGAAATACCATGGCACAAGAACCAAAGTTATAAAATAAAATAACCTTTTATTAGGTCCCATGATTGCCCTTTAGGAGACATAATTGGCTGAGATCAGCCTTCTAAGTACTAAAATATGTATATATTGAAAACAGAAACCACGCACATGAGATGTGATATTTAACTCTTATTCCATAATTTTCATACATTTGTAATATATTAAAATATTTCCTAGCTACCAACTACAAAATAAAAAGCTTGCTTCTTTTTTGTTGTTGTTAATCACGTAGACATTTTCAAAGTCAGCAGGAAACTCTTGATGGCAACAAAGTTTTGAAATTCATATGTGCCTATTTTTATTCCACATTTTAGCATAGTTACCAGAAATGTTTCTAATTCTGTATAAGGTACAAAACTATTATATAATCAGTTTGTTACCCGAAGGTTGGATTATGGCTTTGTATTTCTGTGAAATTTTAAACTCATACTTCAGATGAAATATATATGCTTGGTGGAATAATATTTAGCTGCATTTGTTGATTACCATTTCAGAATATTGCAAAAAGCCATAGTGTTTTAAATCTGCCATGCAAAGTGAAGGCACCTTACCAGGGATCCAACATGCTGTGAATGCAGGAGTAGGAAGAGTAATAGTAATAGCATCTAAAAACCCAGGACAAATTCTTGATATGTGATTGTTTCATGGAGTCCATAAACTCCATAATTAATGCAGGCATTATTTAATTTAGATTCAGCAAGTCTCAAAGGTTTGGAAATCACATATTGGAATGTGGGATGGATTTTTTCCCCCCATAAAACAATGGTACAGTGTAGTAACTTCCTTATGGCCTCCCACTCCTTAGCTTAATGAAACCAAACTCTTTATACCATTATATGTATAAAACATAAAATATTATTTTATAGTTATGCTTTCTCTTTATTTCATGTATCTTTTTCTAGGCTTAGTAGCATTATGTTCAAAATTTCTGCCAAGTTCCCCCTGTTTCTTTAGTAAGGGGAGCAGTTAAGTCCTCAACACAGAGCCAGGGGCTAGATGCTCACTAAGTTTGGCACTTAATATTTTCATTGTTTGTATGCCCAGGTATTTATATTCAGAAATATAACTAAAATATATTGATATTCTTGAAATTGGTCTATCACTTTAAAAAAGATTAGAAGATCTTCCTTAAAGAAAATAATAATGTCTGTTTGTGAGCCTGATCCTTAAGTCTCTTTAGTGTTCAACATAGTCTACTGGCCTTTCCTCAATATGGGGTGGGAAAGATATTTCTGGAAACTTCTGTATTTCCAAAATTCCATCCTCTTCTTGATTGCCTTAATCTTGATTTCCTCATTCAACATCTCACTTACTAAATCCTCCTTTACCCTCAAATGTCTTCTTAGAGTTCAGAAATTAATGCTTCACCTTTATTTTTTCATATGCATTATCTTGGGGGGCGGGGAATCTTACATATTTTAAGTAGTTCCTACATTATGCCGTAGGTAGATAGATACATAGGCTTCTAGATTATCCCATCTCATTCCAAGGTTTCATGAAAGCCCAGACTTCTCATGTTGTAATTTTCCATACTGGTGTTGACTCTTTGCGCTTTGAACATAATTACTTAGTTTTCCCTGTATTGCTTGTTGTCATAATTTCCACAAGAATAGAAACTTGATGGTGTTTCCCTTTGAGTCTCTTGGGTTTAACTCCATATCTGGCACCAAGTAATTGTTTAAAGAAACAGGGCTCCTGGGTGGTTCAGTCGGTTGGGTGTCTGCCTTTGGATCAGGTCATGATCCCGGGGTCCTGGGATCGAGTCCCGCATTGGGCTCCCTGCTCAGTGTTGAGTCTGCTTCTCCTTCTCCCTCTCCCTCTGTGATCTCTCTCACTTTCGCTCTCTCTCAAATAGATTAAAATGTTTTTCTTATGCATATTTATTCTTTTTAAAAAAATATTTTACAGACTAAAAATATTTATACTATGATTTACTGATCAAACTCAAGGTCACAAAAATTATCCTTAGGTAAAATCTGTGCTCTGTAAATGAATTTGATTGTGATCAAAATCAGTAAGAAAAAAAAGGAAATTATGTAATATATATATCAAGTATATTAAAAACATTTTAAATGCTACCCTGAATTTGCATATGGTATAATAAACTCAAGAGTATCCTTTATGGTCACAGAAAACCAGAATTGAAATAAGTGATAAAAATTAATTAAAATGTTACATAACCCATGTGAATAAGATAGTCATACCTCATCTTTCAGCTGAAGTATTCTTACATGACCAGACTTTGCTCCAATACTTCACTTCTCTTAATAGGCCCACTATTAACCTATTTCGGGATCAGAGAATAGGCAATAGGAATAAATAGTGAGTCTTCATCTTTGTAATGCTGCTCAAAAGACCTTAACCAACAACTATTGATTTTAAGTCTAGAGGGAGGTCAGCCACAGTCATGTACATTAATATGTATTAAAAGTTGTAGGTGAGGTATAATAAAAATTAGATTTTCTATTTATCTGCATTTAGATGGCAAGGAAATTATGCTGTAAAAGCACCAATAATTGATTTCAGTTATCTTCTTTAGCTTGACAAACTTCAGGTGCTGACTTGTGAGTGAATTCAGAAGGTGATATTTACACCAATTGGACCTGAGAACAGCAGTTTCTAGTACTTTTATCACAAAATCAAAATTAAGGGACAACCAGTTATCTACATAGCAGTAGCAATGCAATCTTAAATTCTCTGTAATCTGTTTTTTTTTTTTCTTCTTCTTCTTCTTCCATAGGGGTTTTTAAACTTACAGAAGCCTAGTAAGGGTGATAAGAGGGGACTTGGCATGAGTCCACACATTTAGGAATCTTAAATAACTCAAAGATGGAGAAGTCAACTGAAAGCAATCCATTCAAATTCAACAAAGACTGATCTTATCTACTGAATTGAATGTTTGCAAAATGACATTGAAATAAGAAAGGAAGAAAAAGAATGATGAGAAACATTTTTTTTTAAAGATTTATTTATTTGAGAGAATAAGAGAAGAGAGTACATGAGAGGGGGGAGGGTCAGAGGGAGAAGCAGACTCCCTGCTGAGCAGGCAGCCCAATGCGGAACTCGATCCTGGGACTCCAGGATAATGACCTGAGCCGAAGGCAGTCGCTTAACCAACTGAGGCAGCCAGGTGCCCGAGAAACATTTTTTATATTTCAGTTTTTATATTTCAATTATTCTCTTCTACATTTTCAACATCTCAATATTCATGAACTTGGTTATTGCTGGGGTGAAAAGTAGAAGGTGTAGTGAAAACAATGCTACAAGAGAAAACTATCACAAGGGTATCACTTGCTGGCCAATCCCATGGTGATGTTCCATGGGTACTGTGGCAACAGAGGGGCAGTCTGCAAAACCATATATTTAAAAGTTCAGATCATTCTTATAATTTAGAGACCAGGCAGAAATTCAAACTTCGTCCCTCACATCCCTGTCTTCTCTACAGAGGTCACTGCAGATTATTCTCCCACAAAGCAATAGGTACCTAGAATACATGGCAAAGCAAGAAAGTACAACAGAAAGGATACAACATTCCTGATCAGGATACAGTAGACACACAGTGTCATGTAATTTGCTTTAAAATTAATTTGCATCTACATGGTTACTTATGCTCTTTCAATGCATTTTCACATGTCATTAGAAATGCACAGCAATTATCTCCAAGTTGTAAGTTGATGAATGATGTCATATTTGTTATGAAA